CCGAAAACGCGTTTTAATAAAAGTGTAAACGAGAACAAACGCGTTTCAACGGCGTTTTTAACGATCGTTGACCAACGCGTTTGGAGAAAACGCGTTTTTCTTGCCGTTTTTAACGATTTTTTTTCGGTTGGGATGTATTTGATTTGAACGAATTTAATATAATTAAATAAACAGTAACAGATTAAAAGTAAGAAGCCTACTAAGCTAAGCAGAATAAGACGAAAGAAATTATTCAAAGAGACGATGCGAAATGCCTACTGCAGCAGAGATAAAAACATCTAAGCAGACTTTCTTTTACAGTAAGAGATAGATGTTGCTAAAACTCAGTAAATTTTGATAACACGCAAGAAATTATTTACGAATGATGACACTTACAGAATAAAGATAATATACATATGAGTCACAGAGAACTGATAAGAAATAGTTTTAGATCCCCAATGATCCATAGTTTCCAGAAAACGTTTTAAATTTGAGTTAGATTAGAAGCTTTTTATATCAAACCGGCATTTATGCCAATATAAGTTAAATAAGTCAGGCGATCGATCGAAAAAGAAGAGCGTTACCTTGTAGATTTGTAGCAAACAAATCTGGTTTATTCTACAGACTCAAAACTGCTTTTGTCGTCCGTTCATTACAATGGCAGAAGAAACAATACTGATAGGGTACTTTTCTAAAGGCATTAAGGCGACTAACAGTAAAAAGATGAGAAAATGTACCTGACGTAAACTGCTCTAATTAGTCTACATTAATCAAAGAAAAACCGTGAGGCTGTGACACTTTTAACCGTTTTTTGTCAGTGTCATGACTTTTCTGTTTTTTCTTTGATCAATGTAGACTAATTAGAACAGTTTCGCATTTAAAAACCTATCACATCTTGTAGAGAAAACGATTTTCTACAAACTCGTATACTTGTTCAGTTTTCGCCTGCTCGTCTTTACTTTCTTAGACACGTTTTTCAGATAGCCCTCTCAATCGATTTTGGGGGCTGTTTGTACAACAGCTGTACTTTTATAACGAATCAACCTTCAGAGCCGACACACTTTTCATTTTGCAGAGAATTGTTTAATATACTTAATTATCTAGTTGCAATTTTAGATTAGTTTGTAGCTTTATTGCAATAATGTTTTGAAAATGAACGAGAAAACCGTTAGTGTATCAAGCCGTGTACGAGGGACACGGCGTCAATATTTGAGACTCTGGTAGTTAAATCATTCATGTGAACTGAGAGTGTATGTTAGATCGTGCTTTGGCAGCTCAGTGGTTAGAGCTTCTGGCTTGTTATCAGTGGGTTCGATTCTCGTTCGAGGCATTCATTTTTTCTCACATGGCCGTCTGTCAAGCTCAAGTCCACTTTCTTGCTTCATTCACGTCGCGAACGAGGTCCTCGCCCCGCGATCACGTTAAAATCGCGCAACTCCTGTCGCGATCGCTAAGAGGTCGCTGTTGTCGCGGCGCGGTCGCGATGAAGTCTTAGTTTTCAAAAATTTGTGATTCGCGATCGTGAAGCGACAATAGCGACTTTTTAGCGACCGCGGTACGACTTCGCGATCCAAGCGCGATTACTGATAAAAAATTGTTACGTAGCGCTCGCATTTTTCTCTTACAATCGCGATCCTGCCGCGAATTTTTAGGGAGACTCGCGTTGCGACATGCGATAAGAAAGTGGAAATTATGTCTCACTTCTAGCCGCATTGAAATTCACTCTCTAATAGTATGTGTCTTTTGTCATATCTGCAGATTCATGTGTACATAGAATAACTTAATTTAGAACTTTTCTTATATGTCTGTATCGTTTTAGACTTTTATTATTTGCACGAAATGTTTGCGCTAACCGACTCATTAAACATGCAGCGCAGGATTAATCTTGATTCCATCTTCACTACAGGCACACAACGGTTCAGGTATGCCCTCTGTGGAACAATTTCTTTCCATTGATAAATCATCAAATAAACTTTGCCGACGAAAGTCGTTGACCATATTATTCTTTATAGGAGAAGCGATATTAAATAGCGTCCAATAAATATCTCGAGGAGTGACAAGCCGGAATTGATTTTGAATTAACATTTGTTTTTTCTTTGATGACATCAAGTACTCATTCGGCATAATCGTAATTAGAATAGGTAAACGAGATTCAAGACGACCGGCTGTAGTTTTAGACCACATAGGTCCATAATGTAAACCGTGATCAGCTAATATGAAAATAATAGGCGGTTGCTGTTGATGGAATGATGGTGATGTTAAATGTTCTAATAATTCAACAAAATCATCATCGACTAAACCTAAAATAAACATACATAATAATGAT